TGCTTTTAAATACTACTTTTAGCTTGGTCTCTTATTAAACACTTCAATGGTACTTTTGATTTCTGTTGAAAAACTCACCTGTGTACTCCATGACCAAACAAAAAAGGCATCAGCAGCACACTTGAAAAGGATCATGATATTGATAGGAAGGAACTGACTTCTGAAGTTAAGAAAAGGAAAAAAAAACTTTATTATAAATATGACAATGTTTTGTTTAAGTACAAGATTAATACTATCACCATTGTAACAAGTCAGAATATGCTGCTTTGAGCAGAAATACTTCACATATACTATTATTTCAAAATACTCTGATGTGAAGTGAAATTATTAATACTTATCACATGCCAACATTGGAAATTTCTTTGGATCTACACTTTGGCACAAACCTCGTCTTATACAAGTGAATAGAAATAGCTATAATGAATGAGAAAGATCACAGTAATGTGGTACTGGAACGTACCAAGATATCAGAAAAAAAAAATCCCCATGCCTGAAAATATGAATAAAAAGGTAATCATAGATACAACAGGTAATGGATCCACTTTAGATCAACACACTTCTAAAAAAATAAAAAGACATTAACTTTTGCAACCCCAAGAACAAAAAATAAAGGTTGGAAAAGAAAACAAAACAACAAAATCAACAAATCAATAGTCAAAATAGACCTCATTTTAAAAATAAGTGAGATTAAAAAAAAAAGAATTTGAGAAAAGTAGGAACCAGCCACATCTTAACTGGAGCATTAAAACATTAAAATTTCAAACATTTTGGCAAGTCTCTGATAAAAGTCATAAACATATAGTCAAAAGAAATGATGTTAAAATGGTCAACTTACATCAGATCTGGAAAAGAGCTTCAAATATAAATAATGTAATTTTGTAAATAATAAACGAAAATAAGGAATGAATATATAGGGTAAATTAGGAATGTAAAAGGGTCAAGTCTGATGGGGGAGTTTGATAATGCAACATCGTAGTCAAAGGAAGTAGAGCCTTATAAACCATCCTCGAGGCACAAGCGAACGCTCATGGAAAGAGCAAGCTTGGTGCATAGGAGAACACTTGAGAACATGGAATGTGTAAAACCACTGGACTTGGAACTGTCACACGTGCAGCACGGGTGCCGCCACCCTCTCGTAGGGGATTCCCACGCCCCTCTCCACCGACCTCAGCTCGGCCTTGAGGTTGCCTATCATGGAACAAAGACTATTAAATTTAAATCCTTCTTTTATTATTTTATAGGAAGTTAAAAAATCGGGTTGCAGCTCAAACATCTAGAGACCGGAAAAAGGCCCGTATGGATGATCTAGAAGCCTCAGTCACTGAAATGGCACAAGAGGTACGTAATTATCATTTTTTCCAGTCTTCAATTTTGATTTGTTACCTTCTGCCATTCACTTTACTCTCTTCTAATCAACAGCTAGAAGCAATGAGAAGACTTAATGAAAGAATGGAGGCTGAAAATGTACTACTCAAACAACAGCTACAAGACGCCCAAGCTACCAATGCTGCTCTTTTGGAGACATTACTCGAGAAAGAAAAGTGTGCTTGCAGCAAGAATCAGAAAAGCAACAATCAGGTTGCCCCTGTTAGTTTCCCATCCACCTTGTCACGACCTGCTGAGTCGATGAGACACCCTCTGCTGAAGGGACCGGAAGGGAAACGAGCAGACAACCTGAAACGCCTGACGATCTTGTTGATGGCATACCTTCTCTCCCCGAACTCCTCGCCGATCTCGGATCTGACGAAGATCTGCCAGACCTTGGAGACTTGGAGCGATTCGCTGAAAGCCTCTTACAAGAGGCCTTTGCCCATGAACAGGTAGGTTCTGCAGAGACTACTGAATACTTGTACAACAGGGTAGTCCATCGGCACCGTTCTCTCTTCTGATTATACCGTGCCGGATGCATGGGTGCGGGCGGGCTTTCCTATCGTCGCTGACTGAGGTGCCTTACGGCTCCGTCCGCACGCCTGCATCCGATACAGTCAGGGTAACCAGAAGAACGGTCCAGAATAGGAGAGTCTGTATAAATTTTTTGTTCTTTTCCAAAATTAACATTTCTTTTCCCTTTATCAGAATTCTTCGAGAGCGGAGCAAATGGTGGGGAAAGCACCAGAAATCCTGGAATCCAGTAGATCAAGTAGCAGCCTAGGTACAGGATCGGAGATTGAAGTGCTTTCTACAGAGACCGCCTCTAGCAGTATTGTCCGACCAACACGCAGAAGACTCCCAAATCGTCAACCGAAGCAAAATTTCAAGAAACTCTTGCCAAGAGAGGAACCTAAAATTATGAGTTCCCATCAGAACCTGAGCTTTGTCACAGGCACTCCAACATGTGTCACATTGCCAATGGTATCACCTCAAACCGACATACTTGCTAGTGCCTTAAACAATGCATTTTCCCCAGATGATTGTATAACTATAATTGTTCCAACTCAAGATGAAAGTGACTGCGTAATTCTTGAAGAGGCTGTGCAAGAAGTTACAACATCATCTTTCCTGATACCTTCATTCAAAGATGAGCCTTTGTCTCCTAGAAGTGACATCAGTGCAGTGAAATCAGACTGTGGGTATGAATCATTTGGATCTCCTCATAGTGACGTTTCATCATCAGAAGCTATGAGTGACTTGTGGAATGAAAGTTTTACACAACTATTCCCTAATACATTAATGTAACCTAATAGTAATTTTTGTGGTCTGTCTACCCAAAGGTAGAAGTTTCCAGTTTTTGTTTTTTTTAAATCAATTTTGCCACTTTGGCTCTCTGATAAAACTCTATTGTTGCATCTTTTGTGCTAGTTTGTACATGTTGTAAGATATTAATATATTTATTGTATATAATATAACAGGGGGAATTGAATGCTGTGTCAGGGAAAAGTGACACCCCTTTTTGCCCTGACTTCAGGCAACCCTGTATAATTTGAGGGAACACCTTCTGCTTTTAAATACTACTTTTAGCTTGGTCTCTTATTAAACACTTCAATGGTACTTTTGATTTCTGTTGAAAAACTCACCTGTGTACTCCATGACCAAACAAAAAAGGCATCAGCAGCACACTTGAAAAGGATCATGATATTGATAGGAAGGAACTGACTTCTGAAGTTAAGAAAAGGAAAAAAAAACTTTATTATAAATATGACAATGTTTTGTTTAAGTACAAGATTAATACTATCACCATTGTAACAAGTCAGAATATGCTGCTTTGAGCAGAAATACTTCACATATACTATTATTTCAAAATACTCTGATGTGAAGTGAAATTATTAATACTTATCACATGCCAACATTGGAAATTTCTTTGGATCTACACTTTGGCACAAACCTCGTCTTATACAAGTGAATAGAAATAGCTATAATGAATGAGAAAGATCACAGTAATGTGGTACTGGAACGTACCAAGATATCAGAAAAAAAAAATCCCCATGCCTGAAAATATGAATAAAAAGGTAATCATAGATACAACAGGTAATGGATCCACTTTAGATCAACACACTTCTAAAAAAATAAAAAGACATTAACTTTTGCAACCCCAAGAACAAAAAATAAAGGTTGGAAAAGAAAACAAAACAACAAAATCAACAAATCAATAGTCAAAATAGACCTCATTTTAAAAATAAGTGAGATTAAAAAAAAAAGAATTTGAGAAAAGTAGGAACCAGCCACATCTTAACTGGAGCATTAAAACATTAAAATTTCAAACATTTTGGCAAGTCTCTGATAAAAGTCATAAACATATAGTCAAAAGAAATGATGTTAAAATGGTCAACTTACATCAGATCTGGAAAAGAGCTTCAAATATAAATAATGTAATTTTGTAAATAATAAACGAAAATAAGGAATGAATATATAGGGTAAATTAGGAATGTAAAAGGGTCAAGTCTGATGGGGGAGTTTGATAATGCAACATCGTAGTCAAAGGAAGTAGAGCCTTATAAACCATCCTCGAGGCACAAGCGAACGCTCATGGAAAGAGCAAGCTTGGTGCATAGGAGCCCACTTGAGAACATGGAATGTGTAAAACCACTGGACTTGGAACTGTCACACGTGCAGCACGGGTGCCGCCACCCTCTCGTAGGGGATTCCCACGCCCCTCTCCACCGACCTCAGCTCGGCCTTGAGGTTGTGGAGGAGAGCCTTCAGGTCGCCCAGCACGGTGGGCGACAGGCGGTTGCTCTCCTGGATGAGTGCCGAGAGTGCCTCCTCGTCACAAGGTGCAGGGTCCGGAACGTTACTGCTCATCTGTAAACACATTCACCAACAACCTTCGTTTGATTCACCCCGAGACGTCGTGGTAGTATTTGCGCGATAATAAGAGAGGGAGAGAGCAGGTTCCTCACGTTTCGCAGCGCGTCGGCGAACTCCCGCTGTGCCTGCTGCAGCTCCTGCAGGAGCGCGTCGTACTCGCGGTGCGCGGCCGCCTTCTGCCGGTCCAGCTGCGCCCGGAGGCCGTCGCACTCGTGGTCCCGCACGGACAGCTTGTCCTGCAGCGCGCGCACCTCCGAGGACCGCTGGTGCAGGTGGCAGCCCAGCGTCTGCAAGCGTGCGGATGTTTAGAGGCGGTCGGCGCGGCACGGCGTGGCGGGCGGACCTGGCGGACCTCCGACCAGCCAGCGCCCGCGAGAGGCGGGGTAGGCCAGCCCGCGCGACACGGCCGCGTGCACGGCGCGCGAGGGCCTACCCGCCAGGCGCTCCCGCGGCCCGGCCCCGGGGCCCCGGGACCTCCGTGAAGCTGGTCGCACCCATTGCCGTACTAATTCTGCCGATAGTACAGTGATCTAAAACGCAATTAGTATGTTCGAACCATACTAAAAATAGAAGTAGTGGCCCCGGGGAAGTGCCTAAGTACGATGCAACGCACTCCCTTCAGAGCGGAGCGGTTCCTCTTTTTAGCAGATGATACCTTAAAAACCTTTTGACTAAACGTAACGAATATATAAGTAAATTTAAGGTGTCAGCTAGCTTTTACGCCCCTTTGCCCGCGCTTTTCAACGCCGCCGCTTGTACGGGGAAATTGCAAATAACAAGCAACTAGAAACAAATGACAGCTAAATCCGGGAGATAATTTAAAAACAGACATATTCTTAAATGTCAGGAGGGCCGAAAATTTTGCCTGGTTTTTAATTTGTATTTAGTTTTTGAAATGGTGGGCTGGGATCAAACGATTAAAGGGGCGCCGCTTTGGGAGGGGCACTGTATCCAGAGCATCTGCCACGATCGACCGCGGTCACGTCCCGTATCGAAAACAGTAAAAAAATATATCCCGAAAATATTCGTAAACTGTGAAGTAAATTATGTGCCGTTGGTACAAAACACCTCAGAGGGATCCTGACCATGTACCACCACAGCGTAAGAGAGGGTGATATCCGGTCAGGTTGTCGGACGCCTGCGAGAGGTAGGGTAGGCCAGCCCGCGTGACACATGAGCATGCATGAGGCAGTGTTGCCTAGCCGGCAGGCGTCCCCGCTGCTGGTGGGTGGCTTGGGTCTGGGTGGCCCAGTGCAAAACGGCGCTACTACCCTGGTCGGATTCTTATAATTGAATTCACAAAATCTAACGCTCATCGCAGACAACGCGATGTGGGAGAACTCCAAGTACCTTCCTGCGGCCTGCTTAGTTCATGAGCAGCTTGCGCTTCAAGCGCCACCGCACTCGGGAGCTCGCGTTGAGCGCGAGGAGCGTGTTGAGCCCCTTGCCGCCCGTAGCCGCCCACAGCGTGTCGCTCTCCGCCTGGGAGAGTCAAACGAGGGTGAGCGCCAGGCGGCGGCGGCCGAGGGGGAGGGGGGAAAGGTCGGCGACGCAGGCACCTTAAACTGACACGCACCTTGATCTGCGCCTCGACCAGCGGGTCCTTGGCCCGCGCCTCCTGCAGCTGCTCCTGCAGGCGCTCCAGGCGCAGGCGGCAGTCCTCGTGGTCGCGCTGCTCCTGCTCAAAGCGCGCCTGCAGCTGGTCCTTGGACACCTTGAGCACCTGGCCGTAGGCCTCGCTGCGGCCCAGCGCCACCTTGTTGCTGTCCAGCATGTCGTTGGCGGTGTCGAGGCCCAGCCGCAGGCTCGACACCTCCTTGCGCAGCTGCGACGAGTCCCTCCGCTCGCCGAACAGCTGCTTGTGCAGCTCGGCGATGCTGGCGTTGGCCTGCGCCAGCTCCTGCTCCAGGCGGCCCCGCTCCGGGTCCACGCTCAGCCTCTCGACGAGGCTGTCACCTGTGGATGGTGTGGACAAGAAGGGGAGTATTTAACATCTTTCGAGGATGTTGACGACTTTCATGTTTGTTCCCCGGGCGGGCGGCCGCGCCGAGGTGCAGAGAGGCCGCCACAAGCGCCGGTGCATTAAGCAGTGATACCGATCGACCCGTCATATGTTATTGACAACGGCGCCGCGAGGCGGCCGCGCTATAAGCGATCGATCTGGCGCGCACTCCTCGTCCACGACACGACGCGACAAATTAAAGTGCTTCACAAAGAAAAAAAATGTCCTGACACAAAACGGTGTGTGAATGCCATGTGATGTCTCATTACAAGAAGGTGTGTATGGTTTTGTGAAAGACAAAACACAAATTGATATATCTGATTTGGATTGGATGGATAGCACAGCCCCTTTTCGTGTGTCACACATTATTTGCAAAACTATTCAGTATTGGAATAGTAGAGCGGACAGTACGACAGACATGACGGTTATTCTCAGCCGGCCCCCACACCGGAAACCCAAGCGTGTGAATGTCACGCAACGTAGGTGTGTGAACGCCAGCCCAAGTGTGTTAATTTCAAAGGAAAATCCACACCTTGACCCAAGAATGGGCAATGGGCATACCACCCATACCACACATACAATTATGCGACATTCACACACTTGCGTTTCCAGTGCGGTCCAGCAACAGCGCAACGCACCTGCCGCCGGTGTGCAGGTGTGGCAGGTGTGTTCGGCGGGCAGCCCGAGCAGCCCCAGGTGGGTCAGCTTCTGTTCAGCGGCCTTGCGCGCCAGGATCTGCTCCTTGAGTCGGCCCAGGAGCTCGCGGACCAAGTCGTCGCGCCGGCCCTCGCGCTCCCTGAGGTCGCGGTGCTCCTCCTGCAGTCTGGTCTGCAGCACCTCCCCGTCGTCCTCCGCCACCTCCGTCGCGCCCGACAGCTTGCCGATGGAGGCGGTCAGCCGCCGCACCTCGTCGCCGTCGACGCCCACCCCGAGCCCGTCGGCGGCGTGCGCCTCCCGCACGCGGTACAGGCACACCTGCAGCAGCGCCAGCAGCCCGCGCGCCTCGCCGACCTGGGCCATGGTGGCGGCCTCGCCCGAGGAAGACACGAGGTCGGGGACGCCCTCCACCTGCCCGTTCTCCACGTTGTCCAGGCGTCGCTGCAGCGCGGCCGCGTACAGGGCCAGCTCGTCGTTGGCGTCTCGCAACACTCGAAGTTGCTCGTCACCCCCGTCAACGGCCCCGCCGCCCACGCCCTCGACGTGCACCGGGGAGGCGCTGAGGCGGGCGAGCTTCTCGCCGACGAGGCTCTGCGCGCCCAGGTGCAGCCCCTGCGTCACCGTGTCCAGCCACTGGGTGAGCTCGGCGACGCGCGTCGTCAGGTCGTGCTTGGCGCGCTGGAGCTGCGCGTTCTCGGCCCGAAGCTGCACAAGGTCGCCATGGGGTTGGCTGTCCTCCTGGCGCCGCAGCTCAGCCATGGCGGCTTCAAGCTCTTCGATGGTGCGGGTGAGCTCGGCTAGACGCGCGGTGCTCCGCTGCACCTGTCCCTGCAGCTGGCCGTTGTCCGACTGCAGCTGTTCCACCTGCGCGGCACTACTCTTGAGATGGCTCCTCAGCTGCTCGATCTGTGCGTCGTTGCTTTTGACCACAGCCCTCAGCTGGCCGTTCTCCGCGAACATCTCCTCCGCCTTGGCCAGCTGCGCGCCGTCATCGAGCTCCCTGACCTTCGAGCCCGTGTTCTGCTGCAGCAGCTGCGAGAGGCGGTCGACCTGCGCCTGCAGCTGTTCGTTGAGAGCGTGCAGCCGGTCCCGCTCGGCTTGCAGCTCGTCGGCGCGCTGCTGAGCGCCGCGCGCGCACTCCAGCGCCTCGCGGAGCCCGAGCACGTCGTGCTCGAGCTGGGCCTCGCGCGCGCTGCGCGCCGCCTCCCGGTCGCTGGCCTCGAGGCGGGCCTGCACGGCGTTGGCCTGGTCGCGACGAGCACCCTCCTGCAGTCGAGTCTGGAGCGCGTCCCGCTCGCCCTGCAGCACGCGCACCTCCGCGCGCAGGGCCTCGGCCGCGGACCGCTGCTCTTGGGTCTCGGCCCGCATGGCGTTGAACCTCGCCGACACGTTGGTGAAGTTGCGCGTCAACGTCTGCAGGGCCTCGTCCTGCTCCGCACGCTCGCGCGCCTGGCACTCCAGCTTGACCGCCAGCTCGGCGTGCTCGCGAGACAGAGTAGACAACACGCGCTCACGTTCCTAGAACAGAAAGCAACACATTTGTGTTCATCTCGAAAGGGTAAGGGTTGCACTGAAAAAGTTTTCTGTCAATCTAACATAAATGTCCATTTCAAATTTTTTTTTCTTTGCAATTTATATATATGTCATCACAAAAAAATGACAAACATTTTGATTGAAAAAGGTAGCCTTTGATTTTGTTGTCAAATATTGATGTTAATTTATTTTTATTTTTTTACAGTGAGCCCCGTAATGACCTTCCATACCTTCAGTTCTGCCTCAGCCTTCTCCCGATCCTTAGAGGCACTCATGCATCGCTCCTGCTCCTCCTGCAGTTTGATCTTGGTCTCACTGAGTTCTCTCTGAAGTTGGAGACTCCGCGAAAGAAGGCGGTCAATTTCTTCCCTTGAGCGGTCCAAGTTCTTATAACTTGCTACTGAGCTTAGTTCTAGGTCTGCAATACGCTGCTTTAGCTCTAGTGCAACATGATCGTCCTGGGGTAAAAAGTAAATTTAACTCACAAAGTTCTCTAAGATTTAAAATAATTTATAGTCAAAGAGCACTCACAACCAATTCTTTTGAATTTGATGTCTCCTCTACAGTTGAGAAGCATGTGGTAGAAGACAAAGCTTTTTCAAGTTGCAATGTAAACTTTTGTTTATCCTTTATGGACTTTTCTTCTGCCTCCAAAAGTTGATCTTTCACACGTTGTAGATCAGACTTTAATCTCTCCAGATCATGCACCTGACGAACATTTTTCTCTTGAAATGCCATTAATTCTTTTTGTAAATCAGACCTCTCCACTTGAGTTAGGTGAAGTTGTTCTCGATACCACTGCTCTGACTTTTTCAGACTGTCAAGCTAGGAAAAAGTAAGAAGACAATGTAATTGCATACACGTGCACACCATAAAACAGTTATATTCAGCAGCATTATATGACGGCACAAATATGAAACACCTATACCTGAGTGAGTTGGGCTTTGCAATCTCGTTCAAACTGCCTCCTCCTTTCATTTATATCATCATTTTCCATAAATTGCTGAGCAACCTTTGATTTGAGTCCGTGGAGTGAGGCATTTCTTGCTGCCAACTCGATTTCCAGCTCTGATACTTTGTTCCTGAGCATTGACACATTTTCGGCAGCATCCCCTGCTTCTTTTTCCCATCTAACACATTTTGAATGCACGAGTTCCACCTGAATGTTACAAAAAAAATACATGAACTTAATTTAAAGTGGCATGTTTTTCAAAAAAAAAAATCATAAAGAATACGAGGGTTTCACTCTCTAACACACATGCACCATGCACAACTTAAAACAAAATCTTCATACCTCATGTTGTAATTGTAAGCATCCCTTAACAGTAGCGTGCAGACGCTCTTCCAGTGCTAATCGACAATGGCATCCTGTAGTCTACATTTATTTAGAGAAAAAAAAAGGAGTGTTGCAAAATAACACTGCAAGTGCACAAAAACTTGAAATGTCAAATGTCAAAATTTTACAGGAAAAGCTTTTCCAAAATTTCAAAATAAAACTATGTTACTGAGCCAAAATACTTAAAACCAAACTGCATAACTTTAACTGCAAAGCATTTTCTAAGGGCAGAAAGTTGCAGGCAAGTACATACCTCAAATCCATTTTCTTGTACTTCATTACCATTACTGTAATCTGAAAAATTGATAAAAAATATTTTCACAACAATCACAATTGTACGTATAAAATAATGGCAAAGACTATATTTTTATTTCTCACTTTCATCATCTGGATCCATTGAGATGGATTTCCCTCCTAGCTCTGAATATTTAAGGTCCTCAAGTTCTTTTTCAATAGTAGCCAACAGAGCTGAAGGACTTTCATGGGGAGGTCCCTCTTTTACAACTGTTATTAGACCAGGAGGGTATGGAGTAAGCTTGTCAGCAGTAACCAGAGGGACAGGCATGAGCTCTATAGTCCGGAGAGGATTACTTTCACTGACTATAACAGAATTGCCAGGAATATTTAACTTGGTAGTTGTATCAGAATATCGTCTGTACACAGATGAGTCAATTGCAACGTTTTCATTTTGAGTAATGCTAGGAGGAATTTCTGTAGAATTTCTTAGTGCACTTGAAGCATCAAAGCTATGTAATTTCCTGTGGATTTCAGGATGGTGATATATCAAATCAGGCTGCAGCCCTTTTGTAGGAAAACCCTGAGATTGAGAGGAATAAATATTAGGGAAATCACAAAAAAGATAATCATTCATTCTTGCCTGCAAGAACTTACATCGCCCCCTCTGCCAGTAGAGTGGACACGTGGAAATGAGGCATCAAGGGCAGCATTTTTCCTCAAGATACCGGAACCTGCTGGGAAGTCAAACAAAAGTACTTAAGTAGTGAACACTATGGCAAAAGAATCAATATAAAGTCGGCAAAGCTATACTGTACCAAAACGTGCATGGTTGGATTCTATGGAGGTAGTAGATTCCACAGCACTATCACTGACTGATACTGAAGTGTTTAAAGATGCACCACTGCTGCTCCTTTGGCCACTCAGCCACATTGCATGCTGAAACAATAAAAATATTTTTATAGAATTTTGGCTTTGTTAATGCAGGAGGACAGTCTCAAAACAAAAGCAAAGTAAAGGCATAAGAGAGAAAAGGCAATGTGACCTGGCTTCCTATGAGGTGACCAATGAAATATCAGACCGATATCGGGTATCAGCCCGATACCGGATATCAGAACGATATCGGATATCAGAAATGTGTCATTTTCCGGAACTTTATTTTTATCGATCTGATGCAAAGACCGAGAAAATTTCTTGTGTCTGAAATCATTTCGATATCAGTCTGATATTTTATTGCTCGCTGGATTGGTGCAGAGTAGGTGTGTTACATTTAAGCAAAAGAGCGCTGTAAATGACACCAATAAGAAAGATAAAGAATGTTAAGAGCATCAGTAATACCTTGACCTTCCAGATGGTCTGGTCAGTAGTGCTTTCTGGATCCATGATGACAATGATTCACATCTCAAGTTGATACACTACTAGCAGCTGTCATAGTATCTAACAAAACATAAGCACAAACAAGCATTCTACAAAATAGGTCATGAGCACACACAAATCATTAGGTATAAAAATGGGAGCAGACATAAGCACATTTAGAGAACAAATTTGCAACAAAAATGTTTGGGGGAGGATAATTTTTAAAATGGCACCAAAGGGGTGGTTACTGGTTACAAAAATTTCTGTACATTGTTGCCTGCTGGGACAACAATCTGCAACTGTCACGGGCACAAAAAGCCACAAAAAATAGAAGCATACAAAATTAGAAGAAAACGAGATTATTGTTATGAGCTTATATGCGAAACTAAATACCTACCGGCTTGTGAATGTGTAGAGGAGAACTGTCAAATTTCGGTAACAAAACAAAAACACGTAGGCAGACGACGGGAAAAGTCTACCAAAGAAATTTTTCATTGATTAGGATATTTTGAAGTAGTATGAAAATATTTCACTGCGGAAACAAGTTTGTAAAATTTGAGCTTCTCTCGACAAGAAACTGAAAGAAACCTCAAAATCCCATCATACAACACTAACTAATCAATCGATTTTAAGATGAAATTCAAATTAACACCATCAGCACACCTGATTTGTGTATTCATAATGTGCCAAGGAAACTTTTTCATACGTCAGTTTTCCAAAACGCAGTCTTTACTATGAGAATTTCAAAGGTCGTTTATTGGCGCGTCTTGTCTGCTGGCCGATGTAAACAACGCAAAAGTTTGGTTAGAAAGAGTACAGAGGTTTATTTTGAAAATGTCTGCCCCTAAAGAAAAGCCGAAAAGGAAAGGAAAGGACGACGAAAAAGAGAAGCCTGTAGTAGTTAAAAATACAGCTGATCTTCAAAGATTGAAGATCGAAAAGTTAATGAAGAATCCAGTAAGTACTTTGCCTCCAGAAATCAGCAATTGATGTGAGGTTATGACGTGATGTACTTGTCATGTGTTTTCCTTTACAGGATAAACCAGTTGTTATTCCGGACCGACCCAAAGGGAAGAATACACCTCATGTACCTGAATTCGTTCGCAATGTCATGGGTTCCAGTGCAGGTGCAGGTAGTGGAGAGTTCCATGTTTATAGGCATTTACGTAGAAAAGAATATGCCCGTCAAAAGTTCATTCAAGAAAAGGCCGAGAAAGTAAGGATATTTTTCAGTATTTCCTTATTTGTTTAATTTGTCATTTCCTTCAACTACGAGGTGTATGTTTTCATGCTTATGTTTTCAGGAAACCGCAGAAGAAGAGTATCACAGAAAAATTGAAGAGAATAAACTGAAAGCTGAAGAAATAACTGCAAAAAAACGAGCAAAACGTATGAAAAAGAAAAAAAATAAGAAGGCAAAAAAGCCGAAAACTGAGCAGAAATCTGATAGTGAATCTGAAGATGATTCAGAGAATGAAGAAGAAGAGGAGACAACCAAGCCCTCTAATCCACCAACATCTACACCTGAAAACGAAACTACTAGTGGCTCTAGTGAAACTGTTCAAAAATTAGAATCTGGTGTTAGCAACCAAAGCGAGTGAATTAGTGAATTTGAAAGATTGTAAATACAAAGTGAACAAGAATTTATGGTTTAATTTACGTTACATATTGTGCAACAAAACTAATTTATTTTTCAGTTTCTGTACAAGCTAATAACATTTAGCTTATCCAGGATAAAAAGTTCCCATTGGTTGCCAAACAGTTTTTTTGTAAGTTTTTTTCGGGGGGGTCTTGCACTATCAACAATTGAAAAAAGAAAGAAAATAAAAAAAGTTGTTTTCTTAAAGAAGCCATCACGAAGATTATTAATACAATTGTTTTTTCATTGAGCTTCGGACAATCGGGGCGCCCCCATTAATTAGCCTGAATGTGACTAAAAATGTTTATTGATCCAAGCTGCGGGTTAGATCCCTTTTGCATCATCATTACATTGTAAGTTATTTTTTTTTTTTCAAATTGATAATAAAATAAATATATAAATCCCTGCTGTTGCACACTTAGCATCCGCCTACCTTGATTTGGTATAAACATTTTTATGTCAAGTTAATTAAATATTCATACATATCATATATCACAGAAAGATTGTTATAACATGACCAACTTGAGGCTAAAATTCAGTTTGTTCTTTCTAATGCAATTTTTGTTTTAAACTCAAAAATCACAATTCATACCTAGACATATTTAGTAAGTAAGCTTGTCCTGGCTTAAAGAAAACACAGTGTGCAGCATAAGGGCTGAAGTTCTTTGAACTCCATTTAGAGAGGGATTGGAAAGTAGTTGGTTGGCGTGATTGGCAGCACCCAAGAAGATGCCTGATCGCTCTGGTACGACAGAATCTTCCATCCTTCTCAAGTGCTGTTGAAGTGATTCTTGATGAAGAACCAATTCATCATGCAGACCATTTAAATCTTCTACGGTGACTAAAGCAGCAATATGGCACAAAGAGCTACATATCTGCAAGATTAATAACAAAAAAGTAACCATCATGAAAGACATAGATTTATCAATCAGCCTGCATTCTTCATGTAAAATAAATCTCACCTGATCTAGCAAAGCATCTCGATGTTTGTATTCATTAAAATCAGCCATATGTTCTGAATTATCCAAGCCAGCAAGAAGTGCAGCCCATACTGCTGCAAAATGCTGACCATAAAGTGCTCGATGCTCTGGTACTCCTAGAGCAAGAGCAGCATTTATACGTACTTTAAAATTCCGGAAATTGTGCACTAAATTGCATAGTACAGGAAAAATTGTTGTCTGCAGGGCAAGAGAGAATTAACATTAATAGTTAGACAACAAACACTTCAGCTTATTTTTCTATATCAAAAATTTACCTGGCAGTTAATATTGTGTTCAAATAATTCTGGATTTTTAAGCATATTACCTATTGCATAACAAGCATTCCAACGAACCTGCAAACATATGATTGATAATGAATCACTCAATTTAGAAATTAAAGTCTTAGATAGAGCATAGCAAAGTGTAAGATAAGTTCTAGTAATGTACACCTTCATATTGCTTCCAACAGACGCATTACGAGTAAGAGCATTAACAGCTCGATCAATTACTTCAACACCATGTTGTCTAACTGCATCGGCTGAAACCAATCTTAAAAAGTTTCCAAGAGCACGGACCCCATTTGCTCTCACCTGCACACAAGATGGGACGTTACAACTCAAGCCTTTCAGATATCTTGTGAATGATGAATACCATTTTACTCACTTTATCACTATCAAGGGAGGCTGTAACACTCGCCTGAAGAAGCTCAAGCAACACATTACTGGGAACCTCCTCACAGCCTTCCGATCTAAGATACGAAATTAATGAAATATTCATAATGTCATATGAATGAAAAGAAACTTGTGAAATTTTCATTTTTACCTGTTAAAAACTAAGGAGTCACTTATATTGCCCAGTGACCATGAAGCTTTCATTCGAACTATTTGATTTTCATCCTTCAAAGACTGAGAAACAGCTTCAATTGAATCCAGAGTAAATTGGATGTCCTAAAATTAATGTCAAGTTGTAAGAAACTTGTAAGTAATTGTAAGTAACATTTTGAGATCATCTGAATTATGACAACTAAACCTTGCGTAAACACGGATACAGTGAAAAGAGTCCAATTGCCCGAACTGCAGAAGCTCGAACGAGGCTTTCTTCATCATTTACACATCCAAACAATAGCGTGAAACTAAGAATTTGTTGGTCTGCCTGTAATTGTTTGTTATCGGTTAGAAAATTGGGGTTCCCTAACAATTCAGTCACACACATAGAAGAGAGCACAGGGATACATACAGACAACTTCTCAAACACACTCACTCCTATATTGGCTAAACAATCACAAGCAGCAGCTCTCAATGAAGGCTGATCAGCACACTGAACTAATGATGTAACTGAACTGCTCAGAAGTTCTCTCCAAAATAATGTGATGACTTCCATTGATATTGTTTGGCCATTTTCATCTAAGTGGTGAAAAATTTGTGAAAAAAAGGCATGGGATCATAAGCATATGAGAAATGTACAAAATATTATCAACACACTAACCTTCCAGAGATTTATGCATGGCTAGTCCAATGCTTTCTACAGCTCGTGCAGCATGAAGACGAATTGACTCATCAGTATCTTTTAAAGCAACTTCAAGAGCGTTTTGTAGTACAGAAATATTGGGTGCTATTGCACTGGCAAAATGGCAGGTAGCCATGGCCCCTATGACTTGAAGAGATTCCACACGAACAGGTGCAGCAGCAAAGGTGCCTTCTGGTATTACATCAACTATAAGGGAGGACAATGGTCAAGGCATAAAGTAGGTGTGTATTAAATTTACAATGAAAATTCTCTGAAAAACATATTTCTTACATTTAGTGACACCTCCACTTGAACCTGACTGGCACCCCAAATTTCTCAAACACAGCTCTAGAATCCATGGTAAGCCAGAACCTGCAATGCTTTGAGCTGGAGTGTCTATGTCAGATGTATTAATATTCTGTACCACTGAGGAATATTTGATCTGTTCCATTTCAACTTCTTCAGCATCTAATTCAACTTCTTCACGTTCTTCATAGGCTTCTTCATCATCTCCACTAAATTCTCCTTCACTTTGCACCCCTTTCCTCACTCCTGGACTACTTGATCCTATTAGGCAAAAATATAGAATTAAAGAAAACTATTATGTGGCATGAAATGTTCCTTAAAATATGCTTATAATAATGAATGGTAATATTCATATCAAACCTTTGTTAAGAAATAGAGCAAAACGAGGTCTCATCAGACAAAATGTGAGCTCAGGCACAGATGGAAGAACAGCAACAACTGCCCCCAGGACAGTGAGGGCCGCAACTTGAATATTCACATCTGGAGAAATTGCAGAGTGTAGAAGCAGCTGTTAATGCACATGCAGTATGATTAGATAGATACCTAAATCGAGCAGCATCATTACCTTTGTGGACAGTTAGTGGTCTGACTGATCGAACTATTTTGGTTAAGAGTCCTGGTTGTAATTTGTGATATGGTGTATTCTGAACAAGAATAGCAACAACTCGAAGTAACTGAGTTAGTGCTAACACTGCGTTTTCAGCTGCCAGGGCTAGAGCTAATGATCTATGGAGCTCTCGCAACATGTTCCCCAAGGACACAGAAAATGGTATGAAAGACCCAGAGGGATCCCTACGTAAAAATTAGAAATAGGAAGTTTAAAATTTAAAAAAA